AGCTCCTCTGCCTTCAAGTGAGTTTGGCACCTCAGCATTGTTTCATTTTGGAAAGTTTGCCCACCCTCTTCACACTTAAGAGGTCTCCTTCACCATTTGTTTTGGATGATTTTAATCTATGTGAAAGAAGAGATAAAGATAGTGAAGCCGTTTATAAGCTCTAGAAGTCTGGTAGAAGTTTTACTTTATTTTTGATCTTTAGATATAGGATCATATCCATGAGCAAACAGTTTGAATTTTCCTATTCATATCTCTTTGATTTCCTTTTCTTGCCTGATTGCTCTGGCTAAGTTTTGAGGACTATGTTAAATAGTAGTGGTGAGAATCAACAAACTCATCTTGTTCCTCAAGTTAGAGGAAATATTTTTAGTTTTATTTTCCTATTTAGTATGAAGATGCATTTGGGTTTGTCCTAAAGGGACTTTAACAATTTTGAGGTAAGTTCCTTCAATCTCTAGCTTCTACAGTGCTTTTAACATGAATAGGTGTTGGATTTGGTCAAAGGCCTTTTCTGCATCTATTGATATGATCATGTGATTTTTGTCTTCACTTCTGTTTAGTGTATTACATTTATTGATTTGCATATATTGAACTGTTGAACCAATGTAGCACTTCTGGAATGAAGCCCACTGCATGATATATTATTTTGATGTATTTTTAAATGTAGTTTGATAATATATTAATAATTTTTGCATCTATGTCCACTAGGGATATTGGTCTGTAGTTTTCTGGATGCATCTTTGGTTTTGGTAACAGTACTATGCTAATTACCTTCATTAAAAAGTATTTGGGAATGTTCCCTCCATTTAAATTTTATAGAATAATTTGAGAAAGACTAGTATTAGTTCTACCAGACCTTTATAGAAAAACTTAGCTGAGAATCTATCAGGTTCTGGGCTTTTCTTTTTTAGAAGGTTTTAATTGCTATTTTATTACTTGATATTGGTCTGTTTAGGTTTTCTAACTTGATATAATTTTGGCAGATCATATGTATCTAGAAATTTGTCCATCCCCTTCCAGATTTTCTAGTTTATTGGAATATAGATTTTCAGAGTAGGTTCTGTTAATCCTATGGATTTCAGAAGGGTCTGTGGTGATGTCTCCATCTCTGATCTCATTGTTTTGTTTCTTTTCATTTGGTAAAGGGGTTGTCAATTATATTTATCCTTTTGAAGAACCAACTCTTAATTACATTGATTCTGTATTGTTTTCTATTCAATTTCATTGGTTTCAGCTCCATCTTAATTGTTTCCTGTCTTCTACTTGTTTGGGGGGTTCTTTTTCTAAGGCCTTGATACTTCTGAGGTTTATAAATGAATTTAGTAAAGTAGTAGGATACAGGATCAACACCCATAAACCAGTGTCTTTCCTATACTTTAACAGTGATTCATCTAAGGAAGAAATCAGGAAAACCATCTTATTCACAATAATCCAAACAACAAATACTTAAACCTAACCAAGGAGGTAAGAGTTCTTGGATGAAAATTCTAGAACACTGGAGAAAGAAATTGAAGACTGCAGAAAATGGAACTGCATCCAACATTCTTGGATAGGCAGAATTAATTTTGTCAAAATGGCCATATTACGATTAATAATTATTCAATGCAGCCCCTATCAAGATACCAATGACATTCTTTACAGAACTAGAAAAAAATTCTTAAATTCATTTGGAAGAATGAGACCCAGGATAGCCAAAGTAATACTAAGCAAGAGAAGTGAAACAGGAGGCATTACAATATCTCATTTGAAATTATACTACAGAGCTGTGGTAATAAAAGCAGCAGGGTATTATTGACATCGAACAGCATCAACACTCCATCATATGGGTGTTGGCACCAACTTCCTTAAGACCCCAAAGTACAGGAAATAAAATGAAGAATCAAGTGGGATGCCATCAAACTAAAAAGCTTCTTCATAGCAAAGGAAAGAGTGTGAAGAGAGCCTAAAGAATGGGAGAAAATCTTGGCCAGCTACCCTTCAATAGGGGATTAGTATCCAGAATATACAAAGAATTAAAAACACCAAAAACCCCATATAACCCAATCAATAAATGAGCAATAGAAATAAACTTTTCAAAAGAAACACAAATGGCCAACAAATATATTTTTAAAAGTTCAACATTTTTAGCAATCAAGGAAATGTAAATACAAAACTACACTAAGATTTCATCCCACTCCAGTCAGAATGGCAATGATCAAGAATAAAAACAATGAATGCTGGTGTGATTGGGGTCATGGGGAAAGGTACACTCATACATTCTTAGTGAGACTGCAGAATAGTACAACCACTCTGGAAAGCAGTTCAGAGATTTCTCAACAAACAAACAAACACAAAAACAAACAAACAAACAAAAAACTAGGGATGAAATCAGCATATTTCCTAGCTATTACACTCTTTGGTATTTCCCCAAAAGACCGAAAATTGGTGTAGTATAGCAACACAGCCACATCAATGTTTATAGCAGCACAATTCACAATAGCTAAATTCAAAATAGCTAAATGGGAATAAACTTAGATGCCCATCAATAGATGAATGAATTAAGAAATTGTGATTTATATATAATATATATAAAGGAAATAAAATATGAAATTATGGCATTTGTTTGTTTGTAAGTGGATATAAATGCAGAATATTCATGCTAAATAAGATTAGCCAAACTTAAAAGTTGTTGTAAGTTTTCTCATATGGAAGCTAGAGTAGAATAAAGGAAAGGGGGAGGGAAAGATAACAAAGAACCAAGTACAAATTAATATACGTGACTTCCTTTTACTTGTTTATCTAAAAATAAATAAAAATTAAAAGGAAATTTAGGGTGGAGGAAGGAGAGTGGAAGAAGAGAAGGAAGATGGGAATGAAAAGGTGGTTCATGAACTGAAATAAATTTCCACGCAGGTATGAGTTGTTGGGATGAAGCCAGCTACATATAACTATAAATCTCTAATAAAAATAGTAAAGCCACACTAAATCAGTGAAAGACATCACAGGAAAAGGGAAGTTGGTAACCCATTTTAATCTTAAAGGCATAGAAATATTACATGTTTTAAACAAGGTAAAGAAAATTCCAGTTATAATCTTGAGTCCTAGTTGAATGCTTGTTTCATTCTTTAACCATTGAACATACATTTGTTTCAGACACTTTAAAGAGGTCAAAGCATGTGTGGTGAATCTCATAAATGTTGGCATGATACATTGGTCAGAAAAAGCTTCTCATCAAAGAGAATCATATTTTATCACTTTTCAATCCATAAATTATTTCACAAATGGGAGATCAGTATAGAGATTCTGATTATAGAAGTTCAAAATATTTAAAGGATATTGTAATTTCTATAATGATCTATACATTTAATTCAGATAGAGATTAAATATTTGAAATATCGGCTTAATTTCAGTCCAAATATAGAGCCTTGAACCAAGAAAAAGTAGACACAGGTAAAAAATAATCAAAGGTATGAAATACATTTTTCTAAAAGTCCCTAGCTATTATCTTTTGTATACTTAGATCTTTGAAGTTAGTAAATGAATTAATATTCTTCTGAACATTATTATATATATTTTTCTGTACTGGGGATTGAACTCAGGGTCACTCAACCACTGAGCCACATCCCAGCCCTATTTTATATTTTATTTAGAGACAGGGTCTCAGTGAGTTGCTTAGTGCCTCACTGTGGATGAGGTGCTTGGTCCTCCTGCCTCAGCCTCCCCAGCAGCTGGGATTATAGGTGTGCCACTGCACCTGGCTCCTCTGAACATTATTAATTAATTATAAATCTAACAAAATATGAGAACAAATACACCAGGGCCACAGAACTTAGATATTTTCTATAGACAACTTTTGTTAGTTGCTAAACTATTTCTGAATACAACATTAAAAGAGCTGTTATATGAAGGCAAGGATATCAACTATATCATATTTAGCATATTTTGTGAGCCATTACTGTATTCTGATTATATAAGAAGTTATCCAGATTCCTTTCTTATTTCAGGAATTATAAAATGGTAGAGGATAAAATATTTAATTTAAGCAAAGTATCTGATATCTCTTCATTACAATGACAAAATATAAGATCTTATGCAAAGGTGTCATTAGATCATAGAAAACTTCAAAGTTTAAAGAGTCACATTTTTGCAGAAAAGCTAAACATATCTTGATACATGGAAATCAGAAGATTCATTTTATGAAATTGTGCTACATGTAAATCTTACACATTTCTCAGTTCACACCCATTTCATGATTTTATAGATCTATCTCAAAAGCTTCACTAACTAGTTACAAATTAGTCATTGTTTCAGTTAAGGTTGAGACAAATGTAAATTTTTCATAAATGAATAAGAAATAAGTCTATTACCTTTAAACTCCTTAATTTTCCATTTTACTCTTTTTATAATAAAGTAGTAATAGACATAGTTATATATATATTTAAAACAAAGACCCCTTATGAAAGATTGATATTTTACTGAACACAGAGTAAATAGTTTTAGGTGAGTCTTTATGATAATGCAATATAAAAAGACACTAAAATTATCTGAACCAAACATACTGAGTGACATCACAAAAATTTAATGTGCTAGGTCATTGTATATAATTAATGTACATGGGCTGTAGCTGTAGCTCATTGGTAGAGGGCCTGCCTTGCACGTGTGAGGCACTGGGTTCAATCCTTAGCACCACATAAGGTAAAAAAAATTAATGTACAAAATATATACAAAAGCACTAATTCAGGTCTATTTTAGAAGATGTAATCATTAGTATTAAAAATACAAAACAATCAGTGCAGCTTCTGTGGAGCTTTAGAAAAAATTAAATGCATTCAAGTTTGTTATAGTCCTTTGGTGTTTTATTTCAAGCAAACACAAAATAGTGATGTGTATTTCCTGGCAACCTAGTGATTATAGACAAAAAAGCTAAGCAGAATGGTTCTAATATTTTTTGTATCCACAAAGTTTTAAAATCTATAAGAATTACTTGCCTCAGTAAAAATTAAAGATAATTAGAAAATATATTTCATTGTTTTATTTGATCTAACATTTTTTATATGATTCCCAGTTCCTTTTTTCATAGATTCATGGTGAACTCTCATCAGCTTCTTCAGTGCATCCTTCATGTCCTTATTCCTTAAGGTATAAATGAGGGGGTTGAGACTTGGGGTGATAATGGTGTAAAAGAGGGTGAGGAACTTACCCTGATCTTTGGAGGCACTGTTACCTGGCTGTAGGTACATGTAGATAATAGTTCCATAGAATATGGACACCACAGTGAGATGAGATCCACAGGTATTCATTGCTTTGCATTGTCCAGCTTTAGACTTCATTTTTAGCACAGTTTTGGCAATGTAACCATAGGATATAAGGATAAGGATGAGAGGTGTGAGAACAATGATAATGCCTAAACCAAAAACAGACATTTCAACTGCTGTGGTGTCTACACAAGCTATCTTGACCATAGCTGGCAACTCGCACAAGAAATGATCCAGAAGGTTGTTTCCACATCTAGGCAAATTCAGGGTGAGTGTACATAATACTACAGAATTGGCCAAACTAATACTCCAGACCACGACAATCATCTTGAGACATAGACAAGGGTTCATGATTATCAAATAATGCAAAGGCTTACAAATAGCTGTGAAACGGTCATAGGACATGACAGCCAGGAGAAGGCACTCAATGGAGCCCAACCACATGTAAACATAGAGTTGAATGACACAACCCATAAAGGTGATCGTCTTCTTGGGTCCCCATAAGTTGACCAGCATCTGAGGGACAATGGTGGTTGTGAAACACAGATCTAGAAAAGATAAATTCCTGAGGAAAAAGTACATTGGTGTGTGCAGGTGGGAATCCAGGAGAGATGCAAGAATGATGGCTGTGTTTCCCATCAATGTGATACAATAGAAGATGGTGACAACTCCTGACAGCATCATTTCCAGTCTGGGATGGTCAGAGAAGCCAAGCAGAATGAAGTCAAATGAAGAACTATAATTGCTTTGGCCCACCATAATTCTACAAAGTCTATATCCTAGGTGAGAAGAGGAATAAGGGAAGGGGAAAACAAAATATTTGTCAACACTCATTAATTAAATTTGATAAAATACAGAATTAAATAAAAAGTTTAGGGCAATAATTAAAAAATGGATAAAGAGTAAAATTACAACAAAGTATTTTGGTATTTGTTATGGGTTCTTTTATGGCAATTAGTTTGTTAGATGTCTTAAAATCTAGATGACCTTCATGAAACCACTCTTAACTCAGTCTTAATTTTCTCATGTGCATAATTTGGAAGTTTGGAATTATTATTATAATTATTATTTGCAGTGCTAGGTGGGAATTGAATCCAGGTCCTTGTGCTTGCTAGGCAAGTGATCTACCACTAAGCCACATCCCTAGCATGATATGGTCTTAAAATGAGGTGACCTATGATTCTCTATAAAACTTGTTAGTTTGATATATTAGAACATTTTTAGATTTAGTTGGACAGAGAATTAACCTGTAAAATCTGAGTCTAATGTCAGCAGTAGGGAGGATGATATTTTTGCATATTTCAACAAATAACATATTTGATATCAATTTGTTATAGAAGAGATTTGGCATTTATCCTTGACCCTTTTATTTCCCTCATCTTCAATAATTTTCTTCACTAACTCTGGTAAATTTGAATGCAAAGATATGTTCATTCATCTCACTTTTAAAAATTTCCACCACTACTACTCTAATCTAAGCCACTGTTATCTCTCTTCTTGATTCTGGCTTTAATTTTCACTTCTTGCATCCAGTCTTAAGCCTTTACATGATTACAGGATTAAATAAAATTGTGCCATGTGCTTAAAGCTTGTCATCTACTTTTCATTGCATTTAAAAAATATTCTAAATTTTTCTTGATAGCCTTGTTGTACCTGTATACTTTGGTCCTTCCTAGAACATCTCACAAATCATGTTACCCATTTTCACTACTAGCCTTCTCTCAATTTTTAATATGTCTGAGCTCATTTCCATCTAAAGTCCTGGGAACCCGTCATCTTTTCTGAGTAACTTCTACCTGCTCTTTAGGCTGCCTCTTCAATGTTTCTTGTTTAAGGAGGGATTTCAGAACCCATAATTTCTTGTTTGATATCTTATATCCATATAGCACCAAGTGTAAGAGCTTACACCTGCTGTTTGATCACAGATAGAGTATATAGCACTGCTAGACTTTGTTTTCACATCTATAAAAACTTGGATAGAAAGAGAATAACAATCTAAAATGTGTTGGAAGCAGTCAAACATCATTAGAGTACTATACTATCTGACTCGGGGGGATGAATAATTTAGTGCTAATTTTGACAGACACCATTGGTATGTATAATCGTGACTAACTTCTGAATATAGTAGGTCATCAGTTAATTACATAAAGGCAAAAATGAAAATTCTTCTAAAATTAAAGCCAGTTTAATGCTATTATTGTTAAATTTTCATTATCACTGAAGGCTCCATATATTAATTCAGGAAGGAATAAAACTCCTTCAGCCTAACAAAATCTTACATGAAAATCTTTGAATAACTTTTCAATATTTTTATTATACTTATAAACAGATAAAAATGAGTTCTAGCTTCAAAATATTCAAGAATAAAATATTCTTTTTCATCTGTTTTCTCTTTGTATTTCTGCTGGTCAAAATGTCTAAAATCACAAATCAAGAAATAGCTTTATGTTCTCCTATAAAGATTAGATTTATTCATTATTATAAGATAAAAGGGAAGATTTCTCTGCAGAGATTTACAATATTTTCAGACATCCTAAGGCAAATCTGAAGAATTAGTCCATACAAATTGAAGATCTTTTTCCTTCCCACAAATTGCTTTACCAGCCCAGGTCATACTATTTTCTAAGAGTTATTAAAGATTAACAAATTACATTCCATGCTTTATATAATTAAGTCAAACTGAGTCCTGTTATATATACCTAAAAAGAACAATGAAAGATTAACATTACCCTGATCCAGAGAGAGTTCCCTTCATGTTATAATTCATGACCACAGTAGAGTCAACAATGTGAAAGCTTTCTCTGAAGCATCTGTGTGAATTCTGCTTTTCCTAAAGCCAATTCAAGTGGAAATTCTCAGCAGGACTCCTCCTTGAACATGTGACTTCAAATAAGGGGATGAAACTGTCATAAATTCTTACTGCTTATTTTGCCTTATGAGCCTGCACATAGGTCTTGATTGTAGAGAAACATGAAAAGCAAGTAGACAATCCAGAATAAGAATTGAACAACATTTTGTAACATCACCAAAAACTCAGATGATAAAAAAATTATCTAAATCAGGACTTCCTCCAGGTGACTTCCCTAAGGTGACATAGAAAAGGCCAGCTAAAGAAATGTTTGGAGAATTGCACCATATCCTCATATTTCACATATACAGTTTTAGGAGCTAACTAATATAAAGGAAAGTTAAAGGCAGGGAACTGAGAGCATTTTTCAGAAGCTTTTTCTAGGTAGCAAATATAATACAAATAACAATTGCTTGCAAACATTAGCTCTGTAAAATATTTATAGCACACATACTGGCCTTGGAAATAAACTTGCTCTGAGCAGATATCATCTAGAAAAGTTACTTCTAGTAGTTATCTCTATTCAAGCTCCAAGCACTTTTACCCTAAGATGTATGTTTAGGACCATAATATTTATATTTTTACTCAGTTGTCTTGGTTACCTGGAGGTGTGATACAAATACTTCAGTGCCTATGAGAGTTAGTTTTGTTCTTCTCTCAGAGGTCACTTATTCAAACACTGGATCCAGGAACAAATATGTACTCTAAAGATTTGTATGAATTAAAATTAATATCAACAATTTAATAAAATATGTGAGCATAAATTGACTGACACATGATATACTTAAATGTGGACAACTTATCATTGAGCAATTTTAGGTATTTGCTGGTGATAATAATCAGTATATTCTGTATTTGAGATAGTTTATTGATTAGTTGGCTAGTCTGTGGGGACAGAATTTCTGGTCTGAAATCTTTGATTACAATTATCAGCTCTGTGAAAGTGGGACAGGTATCTTGGATTTCTTACCTACGACAGGGAGATAGTAATAGTAATACTTTAAAGGTTTAGTGTAAGGACTACATAAGATTAACATATGTAAAATATGACAATACTTGTTGACACATAGTAAACATTCAAATGAATATTTTTTTTAGTTCAATGTATTCGTGGTGTTGTCTCAAACATTTGCTTTTATCATTTTGGGGGAAAACTAGCACAAGTATTTGACAAAGCATCTGAAAATCACTTTATCCATTTTAACCAATCTTGGGTATATTATATGTATGGTGTATGGGTATATTTGTGTATGTATTCTCTAAATGTTAATCATGGTCATAAAAAATCATTGGTATACTTTGTGTATCAAGATTCTAAATATCTAGATAATTTAAGCTTTTCACATGATCTCAGTTTCACTCAGTTTCTTCTTTCTCCTTAGTCAAGTTTTATACATGCAGCTGTTACTTTTATTTTTCAAAAAGTTTGCTTTAAAGTTGTAACTGAATTTTATAATTTAAGTATAACTGAGTAAATATTCATTTTTTTTGAAAAATAAAAATGTATATAAATGGTCATGCATATGTTTCTATTTTAAGAATATTCCTGCACAGTGACTTTCCTAATCTCTTGCTTCTAATTCTGTGATTATAATTGAAGGTTTTGCTACTCTGGAGAATTACACAGGAATCATTTAGATTCTTGCGAATTTTTGGAAACGTTCTCATTGTTATCCAGAAATTGGTTTACTTAGATTGTGAAGCAGTGTTTCTGTCTTGGATTATAATGCCTTTTAAAACTCCTTTGATATTCTTTTCTTCTTCCCTAATGTCCACTTTTTCCCCTTGCTTGCTTTCACTCTTAACTTCATTTTAAATGTCTTTCATAAGTAATTAACAGTGTTCCCACAATTGGCTGCATGTCAGAAAAACTAGACTGTGTAGAAGTTTTGGAAATACTGAGTCCTGAAATTTCTATGCCCTTACCAGGGGATGTATTTTCTGTTTATAGTCCCCCTAGATAATGTTGTATATATTTTAAGGCTTTAAATCCTATATCAAATAGATAATTCCAATTTTCTCATCTCACATTTGGATGTGTAACACAAATATGAGTTTGAATATTGCTAAAATAAAGAACTTTTGTATTCAATTTTTAAATTTTTAGGTAAACATGACAGTAGAATATACTTTGACATATTATACATACATGGAATATAAATTGATTCTCCCTGCCCCAAACTTTCTACCACCAAGTCTTATTCATTGTATTAAATGACATCAATATCTATCTACTGGCTAGAAATCAATGTGTTATTTATCTGCCCTCATGTTGAAAATAGAAATTATTCCAAACTTTAGGTTTTTTCTTAATTTTTTATTATTACTAGCAGAAATGGAGCCACCCTATTCTTTTGCTGGATTATCCAATAACCTCTTATTTTATTTCTCTAATTTAATTTGCTTCCTTCAGTCCATTTTCCACACGGCTTTCAAACATGCTATTTAAAAAATATTTTCACTTTACCAGTTTGAAATTTTTCAAAATGTCTAATCAGATCTTTTACCAGACTACTAGAAGCATTATGCCTAGCCCGTTGATCCCCTTTTCCTTCTCTCATTCTTCTTGTACCTTTTGATATTCTAGGAATGCATAGTTTAAGAGGTCTTTGCATTGACTTCATTTACTTTGAAGATTGTATCTCCAAGTTTCAACCTTTGTTGCAAACATTCTTCAGATGCTATCTATTCAAAGAGGCCTTCTTGACTACCTAATCCAAACCAAAACTCCCTACCCCCATTCATTCTGTTACATTGACATATATTTTTTGTTCCCTGAAATATTATTTTTAATTCATAAATAAAAACAAAAATTGCATACATTAATGAGATACTATATAGTGTTTAATACATGTATACAATGCATGTTTAAATCAGGTTAATCTATTTTCCTCAAAGATAATTTTTTTTA